TGTCGCGTGTTCGGCCATCCGCCTCCGCAGCAGTCTTCCGGTTTTTCCGACATCATTGGTTTGCCCACAACTAAACCAGACCCGGTAAACGACTTCAGATGTTTTCTGCCGTCGCAGTGGGTCTATCGACCTCAAGATCTGATGCTTTATGTTTGCATGCGTTCTGTGCGCCACTCCAATTGCAAGGGGAATTTGTTTCGAGTAATCATCACGTCAAAATCCAACACGGATGATGAAATTGCGGCGATTAACGACTTCTTGTTCCAGTGATCGCCACTGCGTGGGCCTATTAGGTCACATGAACATCCACGAAAACCAGAGATTGACCACTGACGACTACACCATACCATCACACTCCCCCACCAGCACCTTCACCACACATCCTCATTATCCATCGCCTGAAAACGAAAGCACCAAATTGACACTTCGCACTTAGATGGGAAGTGTACTTCTCGTCTCATTCTCCATATGACTCCTCTGCTGTATGTATGATCTGAGCCTGAGACTATCATGGTGCGCCAATTGTCGTGGCTTGGATAGTTGTCAAATGACGTCTCAACGCAGTCCACACAGTCAGCCGAGTTTTGTGCGTGTATGTGTGGAGTGACGGACTGGTGAGTCGAGAGCCAGACTGAAGCAGCTCATTCTTAACGTGACCTACGGCACTCTCAGGCATGTGAGAGATGCGCCGCCCAACCCCCGTTGTGTGGAATTCCGGTGCTTGTGTTTGGTGGGCCAGATGGTGCATGTGGCGTGAGCAGACAAGGTCACCACACTATGCCAGCCACCGGACCCATTTCCCTCTCCAGTCTGCTGACCGGCTCGGACAGTGTCTGGGGAGTGTGAGTGGGAAGGGAGAGTGAGGTCGAGAACTCAGCGCATTTTCCTCCTCACTATAAACAATTTGACGCGCATGAAGATATCAGGGTGCGCTAAAAGTCGTGGCTTGGAAGGTTGCCAACTGACGGGATGACTTGTACCTCCTCCTCGACTGGTGATCTGAGAGTCAGGCTGCAATGGCTCCTTCTTAATGTGGCCTCTATGGCACTCCCACTCTGTGGGCTCTGGGCCAGGCGTTTGCGGCAGGCCTAGATGCGGCTTCGGCCGTGCCGTCCTCCAATATATTTTGTCTTGGTGGAAAATCTTGTTATACATTTTGTGGACCAGGGGGTGTGGTGGAACGCGAAGGTGAGGATCCGCCCAATCCATCCGCCTGGGGCCTCCCTCGTCTCCGGTCTTCTTGCCTCTGTCTTGACACCGGGCTCAGGCAAGGGAGGAGAGAGTGCGGTGGATATGTGCCGAGGCGCCAGACTATCTTGCCTTTCTCTACCTGTTCCTCATCCTTGAACTTACTGGTTGTTTAACTGAATGGAAGGAACACAACTCGACGCGACGAGCTTGGCATGAGTTGGATTGTCAGGTCGTTTGACTTTTGATTGTTAATTCTCTCATAACTCTGGTCTTATCCTGATCTTCATAGTCTGGGATTGACGGCTCTGTCTTTAGCGTTTGCCACAGTGGTCATGCCTTGACGTTCACGCTTATACCTTTAATTTGTGGACTTTCTATTTGCATACCGCCCGTTTGCCTTCTTTCTTTCTACAATCATGACCTCAACGAATTCCAACGATCCAACTACTTCTCTCAGTGGACTTGTTTCGTCTCTCCCAGACTTTTGGCAACATGCGCCAGAGCTTTATTTTTTCCGTATTTAGGCGACTTTTCACTCCGCCAAAATAACACGTGAAGCCGACAAGTTTTATAAGCTGGTCGAGGCCCTCTCTCCAACCATTCTTTCTCAAGTGCAGACGCTTCTGAGAGATCCCCCGACTGATGCTCCCTACACCAAGTTAAAGGCTGAACTTCTTCGCGTGACATCAGTCTCCGATCGGCAGCGTTATCACGCACTAGTAAAAGAGGAGGCCTTAGGTGATCGCAAGCCGTCGGAACTCTTGCGTCGTATGCGTTCTCTGGTTGGCAACATGAAAATCGACGACAAGTTCTTTAAAAAGATGTTCTTAGAACGTCTGCCGACGTCGGTACAAACAATCTTGGCCTCTGGCTCCGATGACCTAGAAATATCAAAGTTATCGCAGATGGCTGACCGTATGATGGAGGTTGAGCGTTTGTCATCCCCGACGATTGCTCAGGTGTCCCAGTCTCTCAACGTGTCCACCTCTGACCTGGCTGAACTAAAGACGCAGATTGCCCAGTTGTCAGCGACTGTTGCCGCTTTGCAGCTGCGCCGATGCCCCGGTCCCTCTCGACGTTCCTTCGGCCGTGACCGTCGTCGTTCCCGCTCTCGCCCCAGGACCGCCAACCTATGTTGGCATCATGTCAACTATGGCGACAAGGCGCGGTGCTGTGTCCCACCCTGCTCCTTTAAGTCCACGCAGGGAAACTCCTCGGCCGGAGAGTAAATGCGGCCGAGCTCTCTGGCAACTCTAAGGGTCGCACATTTTACGTAAGTGATAACACGAGTGACAGGCATTTTTTAGTCGACACTGGCGCTCAAAGTAGTGTTATCCCTCCCACGCCAGCCGACCGACGTTGCCCAAACCATGGTCTTTACCTTCAAGCCGTAAACTCATCCCCCATTACAACCTTTGGATTTCGATCCCTCTCCCTGGATATTGGCCTCCGGCGATTATTCCCCTGGATATTTGTGGTTGCTGATGTTCCCACCGCTACCCTTGGTGCTGATTTTTTTGGCCGCCTTTGGCCTTCTGGTGGATTGCAGGCAACTTCGCCTCCATGATCGCGCAACTACCCTCACCGTCAAAGGATTTCCTCCATCCTCAACTTCTAACCAGCTCTCCGTCCTTGACCCAAACCCTGACTGTCCATTTCGTAGACTTTTAGCAAAATATCCTACCCTCACTAAGCCCCATTTTTCTGACACCTCATTTCCCCATGATATTGTTCATCACACAAAAACGACTGGTCCTCCCGTTTTATCTCGTCCCCGCCGTCTTGCTCCCGCGCGTCTTGCGGCTGCTAAAGCAGAATTTGACCACATGCTGCAACTAGGGATTATTCGACAGTTTGACAGTCCCTGGGCATCTCCTTTGCACATGGTTCCTAAACCAAATACGGATGATTGGCGTCCTTGTGGCGATTATAGAGCCCTAAACAATATCACTATGCCTGATCGGTACCCCGTTCCTCATCTTCAGGACTTTGCTGGAGCCCTTTTCGGCAAAACCATTTTCTCGAAGATCGAT